TACAATCGCTTTCTCACCGGTGCGGTAATTAACACGGATTATATCGAGCCGCAGCGATTTTTGGAGGACGCGAGCGATACAGTGCTCGAGCGAGTGCGAGACGCCATAGAGAGACACGGTAGCGTGAAGGTGAACACCGCGTTCAACGGCGAATTTACGTCGGGTGACAAACGCGCCAATATAGGCATACCCTCGCGAAACGCGGAACTCTATCGAACGTCGGATGTGCGCGAGTGGTACGAGAAGCATGTCGTCGAAGCCACGTTGACGAAGTTCGGCGAGTTCGAGGAGCGCGACAGCGGGTGGGCGCTGTCGCGAATCCTCAATTTAACGGTAAACGTGAACAAGCACAATCCGATGCACGCGGGATGCTACGTCGAAGTGCCGTGGGAGATAGCGACGAAACGAGCGGTGGTCAACGTGCGCTCGACGGACAACGCATGCTTCGCGTGGTCGGTGGTCGCCGCTCTGCACCCCGTGGAAAGACACGCGGATCGGGAGTCGTCGTATCCGCATTACGAAACGGTGCTCGAGTTCGCGGGTATCGAGTTTCCGATGACTCTGAAAGACATTACGAAATTCGAACGTGCGAACGACGTGTCGATAAACGTGTACTGTATCGAGAAGGAGAGGGACGAACTATCTGTTCTTCCGATACGATTGACCGGTCGAAAGATGGAGAGGCATGTCAACCTGTTGCACATGCAGGATCCACGAGACAGCAGCATCGGCCACTTCGCGTGGATAAAAAATCTGTCCCGCCTCGTGAGCTCTCAACTCAGCAAGAAGCAACACAAGAAATTCTTCTGCGACCGGTACGTATCGAGAAAATACTAAAATAGAATGTTGTAAAAAAGACAAAAATTAAATAAAGTATTTCGTGTTTACAGATGTCTACATTACTTCAGCTCGCAGGAACGACTGGATGCCCACACCGTGGACTGCAACGAGCTGAATGAGTGTGCGGTAGAGCTACCGAAAGAAGACGCGAAATGGCTAACGTTCGGCAAACACGGCAACAAGGAACGTGTGCCGTTCGTCGTATACGCTGACCTGGAGTGCGTTCTGGAAAAGATGGACCCGAATCTGCCTGAGTCTCAACACCATAAGGTACACAGCATAGCGTGCTATATACATTGCTCGTTCAACGACGCGTTATCGGGATATCGGTGTCGCCGCGATAAGGACTGCGTCGCGTGGTTCGTCGAGGAACTCAAAGAATTGGCGCACAAAGTAAAGTCCGCTCTGTCCGTTAACGTTCCGATGGCAGAATTGACGCGCGACGAATGCGAAAGATATAACAACGCTACGCACTGTCACATATGCGAAAAACCGTTTGCGGCGGAAGACACGCGGGTACGGGATCACTGCCACATGACCGGACGATACAGAGGTCCCGCGCATTCCAATTGCAATTTGAACTACAAA